CCATCTATTGGATCCTAATATCTATACCTCAAATTCTCATAATGAAAATGAAAAATCTTCTTTTTCCCATGCTATTTAACTGATCAACAACATTCTCAAATTTCAATTACCCATTAAAACCTAATTCTGTTTTAATGGGTAACTTTTATTTCCAATTTTGACTTCCAATGATTCACTTCCTGCTAAAGAGCCCCCTGGTGGTTGAAGAAAAATCCACATATAAGCCGCAAGGTTCAAAGCTTAGGAAAAAAGTAGCGGCTTATATGTAAAAAAAAAAAAAAAAATATATATATATATATCTAAATGCTCTATTATTCAGGGGGCCGGACCAAATGTGGAGGCAGGCCAGATCCGGCCCACGGGCCGTAGTTTGGGGACCACTGTTAATGTATCGTCGCATCACCTTTTTAAAATTATGTAGTCATTTAAGAAAAATCTTTAAAGTGAAAAATTCTTCTCTCACATAGATCAATTTATTACACATTGTTGCCATAATATAGCCATTGTTGTTGAGATACTGTTAAACTGAAACGAATACTCCTGATAAAGCAATAACAGGTCTCTCTGTTCAGAGGTGTTGATGATGATTTACTGTTTTCTTCAGCCGTGGACTTCTTCAACCAGATCAACATGCTGTATGGCACCATCACAGAGTTCTGCACCGAGACCAGCTGCCCTGTGATGTCTGCAGGACCAAGGTAACAAACATTTTCAATGCATGCAACCTGTTTACAAATTAAACAAAAACCAAAGTTGCACTGGAAATATTAATACTTCAATAAATGGGAAGAACCTCACATGTGGCATTAGAAAGGGTTATTCCACCTTTTTTTGGAACATTGTTTTTTGTAGATTTTTAATCCTACTATACAGACTCACAAATGCACTCTTCCCTTTGTAATAATGGTGAAAAGACAATTTAATTAAAACCTTCAACTTCAGTACTTAGAAAATTAAAGGCAGCCAATATTCTGTGGCCACAGTGTGTAAATAAGACTGTCACAACAGACTCCATGTTGAATTTGGTCAAAGGCGGCTATGATTCAGACGAACAAGAATCACAAATGACTTTCAATATTTGAGCTCCTAAATCAAGAAGCGTTGCGACCACCAAATTTAAACCATGTGAACTTCACTTTCAGAAACTCTTCTCTGACCTATCACTTTTTTTCTGAGTCATTATTTCATGTTGAGAAACAGGACAATGTGAAACTTTATGTTCAGCTAAAATGATGGAGGCGATTGGTTTGTTTGACCGTCACATGAGGAAAACAGGAAATGAGCTTAGTATCTAGATTTGGCACTTCCTCTATCCTCAGTCCATCCAAGACTTTGTGCTCAGCTTCTAATCAGGAGGAAGAGACATGGTTTTGTTTCCTGTTGACACAACCTCTACCAAGAACATCATGCAAATTACCTTCTTTTTTTGGTCATTTTATTTAATTTCACCTGCACTTGAATCAAATTAGTTTGACTGCTGATTGCATTTCCTTTGTAGGTATGAGTATCACTGGGCTGATGGGACCAACATTAAGAAGCCAATCAAATGTTCTGCACCCAAGTACATAGACTACCTGATGACCTGGGTGCAGGACCAGCTGGATGATGAGACGCTCTTTCCCTCAAAGATCGGTGGGCTTTGTTCATTTCTAGTTTGACACAGAATTAAATTGATTCTAGTTGTTTCTCACTTCTTCTTTGTAAACCTTTTTAAACTTCTGCAGCCTTAAAAGTAGACAGAGCTCAAAGTGAATGTGTAAAGGTCACAAATGCTTAAATTTTTTTTTACTACATTTTCATCTTGACTTATTTTTTTATAATCTTTTGCGTTGCAGGAGTTCCTTTCCCCAAGAACTTCATGTCTGTGGCCAAAACCATCCTGAAGCGCCTGTTCAGGGTTTATGCTCACATCTACCATCAACATTTTGACTCTGTGATACAACTGCAGGAGGAGGCTCACCTCAACACCTCCTTCAAGCATTTCATTTTCTTTGTCCAGGTGAGGTCATCACACTACAGAGGGGGAAATTTGTGCAAGACTGAAATACCTAAGCATGGTTCTTATGCAGACTGGAAAAGGTCAGAAGTTTGATTCCAGTCCTGATTGGGATCAGGAGCAGAAACCCTGATTATCACTGGGAAAATGATGATCATTTTGCACAACATTGCATTGAATAATTGTTTAATGTGGAGCTCTGCAGAGTGACGACCTGATGTGGCTCTGACCTCTGTAATGACTTCATCTAGTACTTCAAACATGACTGTTTAGAGACAATGCTGTCAAAATATATTGGGATTTCTAATGTCTTTGATTATGACATTAGTCATCTGTTGGGATGCTGCCATTTCAAAAGCTAATGAAGTTTTTTTTCTTCAAATTTGTAGGAAAGATCAACAAAGCTGTGAATAAATAGGAGTGAAATCTCTAAATTCATTTTGAGACTGGCCCAAATATGGAGAATTTTATAAATTATCTGAATATTTCAAAGTCTTCTTCCTCTTGCAGGAGTTCAACCTTATTGACAGGCGGGAGCTCGCTCCTCTGCAGGACTTGATCGAGAAACTTGGATCCAAGGACAGATAGACATTTCATCATACATTTCCTCCCTTTTAAATGTTTGTTTTTTTCTCCTTTGCCCTTTCTCTTCTACCTCTGATTTCTAGCCTCAACTTGTAAAGAACATTTGTGCCTTTACACTTAATATTTGTACTGTACATTTTCTTATCACCTTTTGTTCTACACAGATTTTGAGCCTTTTTAGCCTCTTGGACTTGTATACAGTAGTGCAGTAAAGGAAAGATATTTTTCACAGGACTGGTTACCGACTGTAGGAGTAGTCTACTGAATCCTTTTTCTTTTTGGACCAAGGTAAAAACGGCTGCTTGTTTTAAGAGTTGCTGCAGAGTGTTTGGTTTGTCTAAACACTTGCTTACTTTTTAACTCTGGGTTATTAGAACTGCAATGAATCAACCAAATATCCCAGTTTTTTGTCTTTGTGAACGGAGGAAAGTAACAGAAAGCGCAATATAGAGTAAACCTGGTCTTTAGTGAGCTTTTAGACTTGTTACAACACAGCAAATGAAGGCAGACACACTTGTGCAGGTGTGTTTATGTATAAAGCTGTTGGTAACATTGCTCCTGTTCAGACCATCTTTAAGTCAGTTTAATTTAAAGAGATGGATTATTGCAATACCTTATTAAGCCCATCTTCAGGCAGCTATTTTATGTTGCCTAAGCAATACAGTGTTTTCCACACTTAATATGTTGAATGTGCTGAAGTTTTCACAGGTAGTTTTGAACATTTTTCTTATCAAGAGCCTATAAATCCTTGGGTTATCCTTTTAATATTAGCCTTATTATAGAAATGATGACAAAGAATGAAGATCATTGTGACCTTTTAGTTTTACTTGTATTTCTGCTGAACCCCTAACCACTCTTTTTATTTTGTGTATTTTTCCTTGGATTGGAAAGCTATGTAATTCCTTTTTCATCTGTATGCCAGTGATGGTTGTAGTTTTGCTTTTTTTTTTTTAATATACTTAGTCTGTTTCCTGTGATATTAGCAGTTGTTGGGCTTTACACTGGCTACAGCAGCAGGTTCTGTCCATATAGCCGATGAAGCTAATTTTCATCCTGGATGTCTGGTCTTCAAAATGTTAATCATGAAATCGATTTATTACGTGGCTTCACATTTCACCCAAACTTGCGTCAGTCTTGTAACTCGCTATGATCGAGCTTATGGAAGCCTGTTAAAATCCCTTTAAATCTAGATTTTCCTCTTACAGATGCAGAAGTGGTGTGTCCACTTATTATTTTTCAGTGTTTACTCTGCCACTATGTTTTTGCTTCAGCTCACAATATCATGTCTAAACTCCTGGTTACATTTACTATTTCAGGTGTAGGAGTTAAAGGTTTTTATATTTCATTGTTTGGTCCAATTATTGAATGGTTGTTTGTGATGGAGTGGGAGTTTTGGGGATAAATGTACCACATTCAAAATGTATTGTAACAGTGTTTTTCTGAACAAAATTGTGCCTTACAATAAAAGTCGTCACAGTATTGATGGATTAAACTTTCAATAAACATCTTAAAGACAATTCTGTTTTGAGTCATTTTGTTTTGTGGAGCAGTGTTTTTTGGATTAATGTAAGTAAAATGGTGATTAAAAAAAACACATGACAGTGATGCCAAGGAGATTATTAAATGTGATTTAATCTATAGTTCTTGAGGAATGTAGCTTGTGTAGGATTTATCGGCGCTGATGGGTATTGGCTGCAATTTAATCAAATTATAGTAATGAGGGGTAAGATTAATCCTGAGCTGTGTACACATTAAACCAGAAGAGTTGAAAGGGGTATTTGGCGTCTTTTACCATAGCTATGTATGAAAATATTCTTGCAGGGTTTTATCTGAAATGGTATTTATATTAAACTCTCCCGACCCCACTAGGGACAAGGGTGTATAGAAAATGGCTGGATAATTAAACTGCATAGGAACGCGTATTTAGAAACTCTGTATCACCCGACAGATCTTACGCTGCACGTTTTCGGTTTTTTTTTTTTTTTTTACTGAACCAATCAAAACGGAGCTAAGACTGTTTCGTATTATGCCCTACGTTTAGACTTGCAGGAAAACGTGTTTAAACCTCAATTAGTTTTGGTAAGCAAAACCAAGTGTAGTTTTTTCTCAGTAAAGATGAATGGGTCCTTTTTCTTGGCAAGATATACTTAACTGTTCACCATAGTTATGAATAGTTATTTTTATGGTAGCAAAGTAAGCACGCCTGAAAGACTTTACCCAGGGCAGTAATTTCCCACCTATCGGGACGGAAAATTAACAAACTGTTTCTCTAAGCTAACATCGTGAAGTAGTTTGTCATCCGGCTGTTTGGTTAAATACCGTCGAAGGACCAAAGGTAAACTCGAATTAAAAACTTTAACAAAAAAATCTCTGGTTAATTTGGCTTTGTGACGCTATAAATGCGTTATAAAGGGAAGATAATGATACTTGGTGTTAAGCTAAGTAGTTTGCTAAACACAACTGATATTTAGAATACAACTCTCTGAAGTCGCTTGTTTACTAATGTTGACTAAGAATACTGATGGTGATATGGGCTATTTTTGTACTTAACATTAGTAAGCTACGTAAAAACGGTGAATAAAGCGAAAGTGCTGCCGATTAGTTTCATTTCAAGATGTAAAGTTAGCTCCGTTTTTCAGATGATTCATGGAGCTAAACTAAGTTTAGTTTCACTTGTTGACTTAATCGACTAACCAAATTCCTCACTACAGTTGACTGAGTGAACTTCAGCCACCTAATCATCACAGACAGATTGGTGCAATTTCTGGTATGTTTCCTTTAGGTCACAAGTGGAATCATGGCAGATGAAAACACACAGTTCTGTGGTAATTGGTGCGTATAAACTAGTTATATGTCATGACTAATGTTTTTGATCGATTGTCTGAACTTAAATGCTTCTGCCTTTCAGCAAGCATGACATTCCAGAGGCCAATTTTACCACTCATGAGATCCATTGTAGAAGAAACATTGGACTCTGTGACGTGTGCCAGGAGCCAGTTCCCCACTCAGAGCTTCAGGAGCACAAGATTCAAGAGCACACACAGGTATTATACCCCGCTTAAGATTGCTTATGTTTATAAACCATATTGTGGGGGGGGGAAAAAGTAGTTACCTTTCAGCCTGTTGAGTATTTTTACTGAAGTGGAATATTACAGGTTAAAATCTTAAGTACCTTCAGAAAACCACTGATCTAAAATTAAAATAATAATTTGATTTTTAAGTATGGACACTATTTCCATTTTCACTGAACTTTATTCTGACCTTTCAAGTCAGACTTATTCCACTTCTACTTCAACCTGTCAACTTGTAGCTCAATCAGCAAGAAAGCAAATTACAGCCCCAAAAATATTGTTACACTTTTATTTTGGTTTCTCCAGATTACATGCAAGTGTGGACTAAAGATCGAGAAGAATCAAAGTGAAGTTCATCAGGTATTGCCTTACTTTTCTTTACATTACATGTTGCCAACAGAATGTTTTCTCCAAAAAATACTTTTAGAATCAGTGTTTACATTTTTGCGGTGTAGGAAATTCTGACATCTATTTAGGGGTAAATTTACTTAATTTGATGAAGCGTTAGAGAAGCAGTACAACTTGTACAAAAAAGTATGTAGACTATACATTTCTTGACTTATAATATTTAACAATCTGAATGAAGGCCACTAAATGTTCCTTATGGTTGTGTCTTGCAGAGCTCCGAGTGCCCTCAGCGGCTGGTCCCGTGCCCGTACTGTGAGCTGGAGCTTGTGTTCAGCCAGTCCAAGGAGCACGAGGATTACTGTGGTACACGCACCGAACCTTGCCCCAACTGCAAGTGCAATGTAATGCTGCGGGAAAAAGCTGTGCATCCAGTCCTGTGCGGAAGCCTAACACCACCCCAAGAGAGGAACAACAACAGGATGGGCTGCGGTCAGACAGAGAGTCGGTCTTCTGATGACTGGTTTGAGGCGCACTCGATCAGAAACCCCCTGAGAGCGCAGGAGGGAGTCCCTAAGAACAATAACATCAGCGCAGCGGAACGCCCTCACTTTCTTCGGCCGTTTGAGGCCTCAGTTTACAGCGGCTCCAGTGGGGATCGGGAGGCGGGGAGCTGGAAGAGTTCTCACAGTACATCTAACCTCTGTGAGTTGATTCTGAATTGTCTTATAGATGCAGAACCCCAAGAAATTTGATGTGTTTTCATCTAAATGAGAATTAAGTTTGATTTTTTTTTTTTCTTCCTGTAATAATTGTGTGAACGTTTGCGTTTTAAGTTCTTGGACAAGGTGATTTTCTTCATGGCGGCAGCAGCAGCGTGCGCCCTCCTGATGAGGAGTCGTCGGGCCTCGACTACGACTATATGTTGGCCCTCAGCCTCCAGAGTGACGGAGAATCAGCAGCTGGAGGAGCAGAGGACAGTATGTGGAGGACTATCTGGGAACGAGAGGACAAGAAGACTAACTCGTCAGCAAACACATTTCCTCTGGCCCACAATAAAAACACTAACTCACCTGAAGGGACGAGCGCAGTTCAGGCCTCCGGCCCAACAGGTAAAATTGGGAGGATTGCGTTCATTCATCCGAGTGTGCACTCGGTTTATGATTTCACTTTGTTCTCACAGATACCATGCTGCCTTGTGAGTTTTGCGAGGAGTTGTTTCCAGAAGAGGACCTTATTCTGCATGAGGTTTGGGAATGTTTTTGGATCCACTGTGGTCTAAGTGGGGAAGTATCAAAGTGGCAGGGATGCAGTTAAGGCTCGTGGTCAGGTGATCATCAATGTGACTGCATCTATAAAAGCATGAGTTTGAGGCCATTTGCAGGTAAATTGGAGTCCATGCGATTATTCCCACATGGGAAACAATTCAGGAAGCTCATATCAGAGGAAACTCCAGGTGTCCAGCAGGGAGGTGGAGGGTTGATGATTTGGACTTTTACTACTAGTAAACGATCATGAGGCGCGCTTAATTCTTCCATGTGCAACAGCATGGAACCTGTTGTGTGTATGCTTGATGTTAGAGTTAAATAATCTTAGACCTGATCACTCTCCTTATGTCCTGATATGTAAAATTGTGGAGCTGGAAGAGAGTGTGCTTTCTTTTTACAGTGGCTGCATGTTTTGCACAAAAAGCTGAATAAAAATCAATTAGGAACTATGATTTTTAATGAAGCGACATAATTATGTAATAGTTCAGAAATGAATGCATTCAGATCCCTTCAGTGACACAAACTGCCTTTCCGTGGGCGAGTTTTGACTGTCAGGTAATTAATTAGTTCATTTTAAAAATCAATCCTAAACATATTCTAGTTAGACCTCAGAGACACCTCTGTACTTTTCTTTGTTTCAGTTCAGTTCCAGTCATCCCAGCCCTTTACGTGGCTGTGGATTTTATCTGCGTGTTCAGGGAACGTGACGTCTAAAACACGTTAAAAACAAAGATTTTAATCTTTGTTTTTTTTTTTTTTTTTCCTTTTTCTTTGTGTCAGACCGGATGCAGCCCCACCTCTGCGTTTGCATCTTTCAGCAAGAAACCGTCTTCACCTCCTAAAGATGACAGGATGGGCAGGAATGCTTCATCAGGGCTGATGCAGAACTTTCCAAACACGCTCGCTTCCAACATTCCCACCTTCCCTCGGTCAGTCTCCCCAGCCTCTTACAGTCCTCCTGCCAGTCCACTAGAGGGCGACGTGGTTATTCCATGTGAATTCTGTGGCGTGGCTCTGGAGGAAGCTGTTCTCTTTCACCATCAGGTATTTTTCCATTTTTCTCCTTTAAAAAAAAAAAAAAAAAAAAAGCTACTTCTCCTGTTTTAATTAAATGTGTGTTTTGTACAGAATAATGCTTCACACTTGGTTTTTAGCCATTGCTGGCTCTATTCTTCTATTTTTTTTTTACTATGGTATGTATACACTGTTTTTGTCTGAGTGTCTCCTCCCAGACTTTACATGGACTGTGTGGCTGTTAAAAAAGTGATCCATTAAGGGAATTAATAAAGAATTTGAGCTAATCCGATTTGCTTCTCAGTTTATAGCTAATCTATAACATTGAGCAAAATATGGAGTAAACTTTAATTTATTTCAGGTTTATTTGTATAAAAGGACATCGTTATTTTCAGCTAAACATAAGAATCAAACACCTTCAGGATTTGTTTTATCTTGAAGAAACTTCATTATTAGCATAATCTGAATTTTGTGTCGTTTCTCTTCTGGAACCAAGGACAAATGTGACATGCGGACCGAGGCTGGCCACCAGCTGAATAACACAGCAATCCAGAAGCCTCTGGGTCCTGCTGGAGATGCCTTTGAACAGACGTCTGCAGATATTCAAAGAATAAGGCACGAAGGTACCGTTGGATATTTCTTCCGGTTAATAATGAAGAGTAAGACAGTAATCTACTCCAGCAGTATTCTACCATTTTGAATCAATTAAAAAAAATCTATCCTCTCAGAAATACTTCAGTGTTTTGGTGTACAATTTGTAAATTCCTGGTCTGTTAAAAACTCTTCTAATGTATAGAGGAGCTGTTCAAAATGTGGCCCTCACTATGATTTTACATGGGCTGCAACCATGATTCAGGAATTGTATAAATAAAATTTTCCCCACCAGCACAGGCGGTTGGAATTTATACTTTTCTTTTTTAGATCTAGATTTAGATTTTTAAATACAGAGTAAAAATAAATCTCGAAATGGAAAATGTTTGGTGCTATTTCAAAGTGTTAGTCTGTTTTTAAACCAAGATTTTACTTTCATTTTAATTACATTGAAAACAGAACCACAAACCTCCCGTTGTTTTTACTCAGCAGCAAACACGTTCATCAATTTTGTTAAAATTCAAATGAGTATTTCCAAAGAAAGATTGACACGTGTTCTGAGAATAGACCAAAACATTTTTCTAGGTCAAGAAAATAGAAAACAATAAACCCTAAAGATTTAGGTGATTACATTTTTGTGTTTGGTATTTGCCTCTTTTTTTTTTTTTTTTTTGCTAAAATCAGACTACATTTTTTCAATTAAAATATTGTGTGTTTAGTTTATTGCTAAACAGGTTAAAAGTCCTTTAAAAAAAAGCACTTTCTCAGCCTTTTGAATTGAAAAATCTCACAGAAATGTATTGGTCTTTGATTAATTTTAACTCGGCAAATTTGGCTTGTGTACATCTGACTTTTCGGGTGAAGACCTTTGGGACTCAAGACTTGGACAAGCGTATGGAGGATGGGATAGGAGGATGTCCAACCGTAACATCTGGGAAGCAGAGGACACTCGTTTCTTTCACTGTGGCTCTGACACCCCTGGTTCTGCTTCAGTACAGGGGTAAAAACAATAATACAATAGAAGTGAAATATGATTTTCATTTAATTTAGAAATATTTAAGCAAAAATGTAAATACGCTGAGTTAAATGCATAATAATTTGTTCATTTTTTTTTTTTTTGGTAAATGTATCCATTAGATTTTATATGCCAGAAAACAAAGAAGGGACGGAGAACAGAACTAAGGTATGTTTTACTTTTATTTACTCAAACTATGTGGTGTTTATTCTGTCTTTATTTAGTCCTCTACTGTTAAATGACTTTAAAAGTTGGAGTATTGACAATATCCACATAAAATATTTGGTTAAAAGTTTAAACCAAACAGGTTCTTATTTCTAAATGTTTTTTTTTTTTCTGTCACCGTACATTTAAATAAACTCTTGACACACAAACTTTGACATGATTTCGAATGAAGGCGACAAGTTGTTACTAAATACAGCTGAAACCTTTCAGTTTCCAGTCTCAACTAGTGATTAGTGTTTATACTTATTTATGCTTGAAAACTCAACAGCATTTCATAAAGGTGAGGAAATGCGACAGAGAGACACCAGCGAGGTGGTTCTCCATATTTGGAGGCATTTTTATTACAAACCTCCTCAGAGTAAATTAGCTCCTTAAACTTCATCAGTCTGAGCTAAACTCTTTCAAATGTCACCTCACAATAGTGAGAAAGACAAAGTGTTACTGGGAAGAAGGGCAGCTTCTCCCAACCCGTTTCCTTTCCTTCAAAACTCTCTACTGCAGGTTTTCTCCTTATTTTATTTCAACGATTCGACTCAGGAAGCTTCTTTCTCTCCACATCCTTAAGGCCGCAAACGTAAATGTCATCAGTGAGTCACATGATGAAGCATGTGTCAACATCTGCTGGGCGTTACATTATTCTGATGCAAGCTTAGACCCTGAGTAATGTAGTCGTGCGTTACTCAGTACAGTACATGCCAGACATTTTCTCGTCCGGCATGAGATATTCACTGTATGACTGTTTGATGATATCACAATGTCTAAAATATAATGTAAAAAAGCCCCTAATCCCCTTTTTTCATAAAAAAGAAAAGCAACAGTTATTCATACTACTGCAAACATAACTAAAATGTTGACTATTAAAGGTGCAATCATGCTATGAAAAATCTGAAGTCTTCCGTATTTAGGTATGGGTGTCGGAGGTCCTTGTTGTGCAGAATATTTGACCTTTTCACCTCCGTTTCAAAAACAACAACGATGACGGCTCTTTAATCCCAATGCCATGACTGTAATATTTCTAAGAAGTTTTACGTGATCAGACTAGAAGCCTACAAGTCGCCGTGAAGCTTTAAAAACAAATATTATATTAGAAAGATCTCTCATCAGATCTCTCATTCTTCATTATTTCCTGATGTGTTTTTTTGTTTGTTATTATTGTTTGTTTTGGTCTGTAAAAGCATTCTTAGCTGTACCGCCGTCTCTCTCTAGCCACCCAAGAAGCAGAATGAGGAGCAGTAGGAAGAATGTGAGCTGGAGCCTCTGGAGAAAACAAACGGACTGCACCTCCTCGTCTGCTTCACCTGTTTTTGCACACATTTAAACAATAAAGGTATAACAACCCAAGTGCCTTTGAAAACCTAAGTATCTTACAGTTTATACTCTATTAATTTTTACAAACGTCTGAGTTGATTTTATTCTTGCTTTTTCCGCTTAATTTTGCGTTTTGTGGTCAAGGCTGATAAATTAAGACATGTATTTTATTAACATTGTATTAGCGTTTTTATTGCTTGGTTCATTTAAAACAAACCCAGTTGAAGTTAATCTGCACCTTGTTTCTGCTGCCGGAGACGTCTTGGTTTTTATCCTTGTGTTGTCATCTTTTTGTTTCTGTCTTCATCTATTTAAAAAAAAAAAACAAACAAAACTTGGATGGATTTTTTTAAAGACAATGTTGGCAACAGATTGAATTTGTTAGAATATGTTTCTCTGACCAAGAAAGTAGAAATTTCTAAGCATTATTCTCACTTTATACTGTTTAACACTCATCTTTTGTAATTTTCTGTAACTAAGTAAGCAGTGATACTTTTTTTTAATTCTAACCTACAGTCGTGAGATAGCTTTAAAAGCATAATATGATGTTTTTGTGACTTTAACACAATAGAAATATGTATTAGGAAGCCAGAAAGTTTTAGTTAGTAGAGCTGCTGCAGTCCATGGGAACACCTTTCATTGTGGATTTAGTGCACACAGCTGAATATTCCTGTTAAAAATGATGTAATACTCTTTGTCTTGTGCTGTGATTAAATATTTCAATAGGGATAATGATGGTTTTATCATTTTCTCAACATCTTGGTGATTTGATTTCACACATTTCAGAACCTTGTCAGATATGAAGTTTCGTGAGCGATGGGCAACATGATACACTTTTGATTCTGATTTTTTTTTCTTATACTGTTTGTGTGGAGGTGATTCTGCAGGTTAGAATATTTTAGCTGCGGCAATTGGGGTAAATTTGAAGCACATAAGTTTCAAGTTTTATTCTCTCAAAGTCATATATTTGTTTAAATTGGCGTCTTTAAGAATAACACGATGCTTACATACAGCAAACTAGACTGAGATCCTTGAAGTTTTTCAGCACAAAGTGAACATTTACACACACATTAGATCACTTCCATATATTGAAATTTTTATAGTTTAAAAAAATAGTGTAGAGGAACAAAATAAGTAATATTTATTCATCTATTTGAAAGAAATTACTTGAAAATTACTGTACCCAAATTATTTTCTTTTCTATGTTAGTGGAAGGAGTATATGTAATATGACCAAATATAATCTTCGGTCCTAAAAAATGTGAAATAGTTATTTATTTTAGAATTGAGTTTGAAACTTGGATATTTGAAGATTCTAGTGTAATTATTCAGCTGCATTTGCATTTTATAGTAATTTGCAAAAGAAAAATAAACAGAAAACATGTTTGGCAACTCCCAGATGCACCCCGCCTTTCACCCCTGTTAGAGATTCCACCCTGGGGAGAGAGCCATAGCTGGCTGCTTGCCACTGCATGCTATCATGTTTGCACAGCCTACTCTGTATCCGAACAGTCGATGATGGTTCGTTCATTAGTTTCTGCTTTGTGAAATAGTCTTTATTTTGAGATTTTACAAATAAGAATATATAACACAACTGTAGAGTAAAAACCATACAAGTTTTATGATTTAAAGTTTTGGTGAAATGTGTGATTGTATTTAATATCTGAATAGTTACTAGTAAAAATGCTCACCATAGTTTGTTGGATAGGGTTTTTGTTTGAACAGATTTTAGTTTAAAAAAGAAAATTCTGGAAAAGTCAGTGTAAAAATCAACAATCAACAATAAGCATAAGTTAAATTGCAATTGCGTTTTGCACCTCTTTACTTTTATATCAGTTGGCTATTCTCACCAGAAACACGTTTATTTCCTAGTGCTTGTATCACATTGGAACGATTTTGGTGGCGCACTGCCTCCAGCCATTGACCTCAATGCAAATAACCACCCAATACAAATAAAGAACAGATTGAAGGCTCATAAAGTGAGGTTTCTATAAACTGCTATGGAGTTTTGAGACAGGAGCTGTTTTTACTTTTAATCTCCAGTTACAGCTAATCTGGTTTTACACAAAAATAAATAGCACGGAGTTCTCGGAACCTCACTTCCAGAATCTTGACCTGAAGACGCTGTTTCACATTTCCCCCGCCTGGTGGTGCGCTTTGAATGAACGCCGGGAGGAGCCGGGAGTCCGGACGGGGGCGGGGTTACAACTTTTCAGTGGGAATTCTCAGTTCAAAAAGCTGCTACTGTCCTGTCGTGTGAGAGTCTGGTTGCTTCTCCTCTCATTGGGATCAAGAAACTCCTGCTTAAATATGATTTTAGCGAGCGGCTCCAGAGTTTTCTATTGTTAGCTGAGCCAAAAACGACCTTCACCGAAGAAGACAAGAAAAGGAAAAGGAGCGTCAAGAAAGTAAAACGCGAATCGTGCAAGGTGGTCACGTTGTGGACCGGGGATCATCTTCACAGCGACACTCCATCCATCCATTCCTTACCTTTCAGTCTCACCTGGACTCATCGAGATGTCCCTGGAGACATATTCAGCGCTGGACGAGTCTTCTCTTCGAGCTTTGGTGAGTAAATGTCCGGAGATGCTCTAAAAGTCTTTAAAAAAAATATTTAGCACAAGCAGCATTGAGTTTTTAGATTTCCACTGGGTGCTTTCTTTAGGCTGAATTACTTTGCTTTGTTATTTTAGGGTGTGTGCACACGGCAAGATCATTTCCAAGAAGCACAATAATACTTTTGACTTAGATGATCAGGGAGCTTCTCCTTTAATTAGCACACCTGAGAGGCAGGTAGGCTACGCACAGTGTTGCTGCTAATCCTCCTGCAGACTTACTCGGTCTGCACAGCAGACAAAGAAAATGTACATTTTCAAGTTTTCCTCTTATTAAAAAACAAAAAACAGGACATGTTTCCCCCCCACATTTGTTTGTGATAAGCAAAGCAATTCAGACATCTGTAGTTTTTAAATGAAAGAATTTACAACATTTAGTTGATGTGAAATGAGGGAAAAAATGTGCACTGCTGATGCGAGGAAGGAAAATATCTCAAATTCACAGAAGAATATTGTTGCACTTCTTCATAATCAGCTTATCTTTATTTATGTAGTGCCAAATAACAGGAGCGTCATCTTAAAACAGATCACCTTGAAACTGGATCAGTCTAAAAAAAATAAAAGTTCAATTAATTCCAATGCAATCACATAGTGACATTCAGATCTAACTACATAAAGTTAAATATTCACTAGATGGCTAATAAAAAAGTAGACAGAGATTTAACCCATGGAAAAAAAAAAGGCAAACAGGCCATTATGTCAACATAAATGAACCTAATGAAGGTGTTTGCTATTGTGAAACTATTGGAGATCATGTCGCATGTCCAGTTATGATAAGAAGAATGTATCGCGTGCACTGAATGCCTGGAAGTAGTAACTATCACTGCTTGGTCATGTCCTGATTACTTCCCAGGGCGTTGGTAGGTGTAGTGTGTTCGGTGTATCATGGCACCTGACACATTTACAAGGAGACGCGACTCATCCTGTTCAGACATCGAGTTTGTTTGAATTCCGCACAAACGCAGTGGTTGTTGGAAAAAAAACAACAAAAAACTATTGCTATTTATTGTTGGTTTACACTGTAAAAAGAGTCATTAGGAATTTGTTTAATGTCTCCTATTTATGTCCTAATCATTATATTTGCGCTTTACCAGCTTGACAATTTAACTTTACTTGACAGCGTTGATTTTTCTGCCTTTCTTCTAAGGAATCTACACTTTACCAATATGAGGGTCTATTAATAAGCTGGTCTTGAAGCACAATAAAGCCGATATGTTTGCTTTGGAGCCGAACTGGGCAGAAATGTCATGTTTGGTTGACCTGAATCAGGCTATTTACTGCTCCACTGATCTGCTAAAGTCTGGGATGATCCGACTGTAATCTGGAGTCAGTGACTCACATTTTACCACAAGTCTATTATATTTTACCCACACAGTCAGCTGGTTTGGGATTTGTGTTGACAACCGATTGAACAGATCTACTTGGTGAAATGGCCACAGTGTATCTGATTTGTTTTTTTTCTTAAAAAAAAAATCTCTGGGCGGTATGAGGAGGTATACTAAAAAAAAAAGTGCTTTAAAAACTCAAATGTTAATTGTATTTTCTGCAACTTTTAGAGTTTTCTTTAGTTAATGTTGTCACATTTGACCTCAGCTCACAGAGGAAATATCATTAACTTGTCTTGCTTGCACAATGCATGCTGCAGGACCCTGCAGTAAACGCTGCCATTGTCCCTGGACCTGCCTCAGAGAATAAAATGCACATCATGCAGCTTCTTCAATTGTCTTTTCAGCTTCCCACTGTGGAGCTGGATTGGAAATGTCCCATCTCTCCCTCTCTCTCTCTTTCCCCTCTGCTGCAGCATCTTTCCCTCAGCTTTAAGGTCACTCCGATCCCACAATTTCACTAATGATGTTCACAGTGTCAGACTTTTCCATCCGCAGTGAACTTTTCAAACAAAACAAACTCGCAACAGAAAGTTCACAAGCGACTGGGATGAAATGCAGTTCATCTTCGGAGCTTTTTAGGAAATCTAACACCCTATTATTATTATTACCCTATTCAGAATCTATTGTCTTGTTGTGTTTTTAAAATGCTAGCAAAAGATAATGGACATTTTGGGACTCGGGCTGGTCTGAGCTGGTTGTAAAGCCTTGGCTATTAAACTGCAACACGAACTCCAGGCCTGTGTTGCTCTTAATGAACTTAACAGTCAGAAGGTCGTATGGCGGTCTCTCTTAGCGCTGCTAATCCCATTGCTACACCTCTATTCAAAGCCCAACCTGCCGCTTTATATTGCTCATCTAATCCCTCGCTAACTCAACCAGAAGGAGCTTCTGTTTTTTTTTTTTTTTTTCTCCCCCTCCTCATTTCGCTTGGCAGGAGCGATTATTTATGCATTCATGAAACATAATCAGTTCTCGAGCTGAGAAGGTATTTGTCAAGGTTCATCTTATGATGAACCGAAGCCTCCGTCGAGTTCAATCGGAGGATAAATCTCCCTTGAATCTGACGACTTAAACCGACGTCTCTTTGCTGGGGAGTTTTTTTTTTTGTTGTTTTTTGTTTTTTTTTTTTTTTGCAGAGTGATGGCTATCAGCTGGCACAGCCCTGATTTGTTTGCTGCGAGGCAATAGTTTGCTGCGCGTCACTGTGTGTTAAACCTGCAGGACCTGTTGCGTACACAGGTGTCTGCTGGCTGTGGTACAGGTGCACAGCCCTACTTGGCGCAGAAGTTGGCGTCTTGTCAGCCGCTCTGTGATCTTCCCCCTAATTATGTCACAGAGCTGCACAGGTGGATGCAGAAAAAAGGTCCAAATGTGACATAATCATCAGCACTGAGCGCTCGGTATTCAGGTGGATTGACATGAACGCTGATGGGTTTCCGTGTTCGGCTGATTTCACACGCTGGATGGGTCCCACGTATGATGATTTATGACCAGTCCTTCCAGGCCTTGACTGTCCTTTCTCCCTGGTGAGCCAGAGGCATTCACACATGTTTAAAATAGGCCAGATTCACTCTGTGGTCCAGTCTGGCTGATAAACGAGACCCCTGGGCCTTTAATTTATGATTTTCTAAACTCTTTTGCGCATCGACAACAGCTCAATGGTTACAGTCTGGAAGGAAGAAGTTCCAATATCTTTTGTAGGATTTTTGCGTTCTCTCTGGATTCACCTTTACTCCCTGTTGAGACTGGACTCATCGTCTGTGAGGAATAAGTTGGAAAGATGGTTGCTTAACCGTCACCTGGAACTTTTTATTTATTTATTTTTTAAATATAAATACTCCCTCTTCCTCCTTAAAGGAAATTAGACGTGAATTTTCCATGGAACGTCAGGCGCATGTCGTTTCATGCAGCAGATTTCTATTGAAGTAAACGTTCTTCCACACAGCCTTGATGATTAATGCTCTGATCACAATCTGCGGTTGCTGTTTATGAATATGATTGCCTTGATTGTTTTCTCTCTAGGCCTTTTTCCTATAGAAGAAGAAGAGAAAATATCTTTCTTTCTGGTTTTTATCCCAGTCGCACGTTTCGGTTTCCCCCTCTTGATTAATTTCGCTGAAGCTTCTGGCAAAGTCATCGTGCCTGAGCCGACGCACCAGGCAGGGGTTATCTACAGTGCTGCAGCCTGCACACTTCAGCTTCTTGTCAGTGAATTTCCAAACAAAAGACCACAGAGATAAGAAGCTGCATCCGCATTTTGGACGAACGGAGAGCTTTCGATTCTGGATTCTGACATAAATATCTGCTCACATTTTGCCTCTGAAAGGAAGTGAAGTAATGTCTTTACTGTAAAATATATCAGTGGAGTTTTTTTTTTTATTTGACAGTACTGTAAAATAGTTCAGTAACATTAGGAGAAGTTACACCATGAGAGGTTATTGTTGCACTGCTGCTAACATTATGAGCACATTTGAGTAAAAAGATAATTGTATTTGTTTTTCTGTTGCATTGTCTTTTTGAAGTCTGGTTTCATCAAACTTCATGTGCAGAAACTCAAGGAGATTTTCCTCTCATAAAAAGTCAACAATGCATATTTTGGAGTCTTAACCTTTTGTATCACCTTGCCTTAATCCTCCAGTAGAGAATTATCACATCAGCTTTAACTGTGCAAGGCCAACATTTAAAATGTTAAGCTTCCATTTTTAAACATTCCCCCCCCCCCCCCATGATTTAATGTTCTGTTGATAAGAGTGCAGGAGAGTGTTTTAATGTCTTCCTGTGTTTTATGGTTCCCCTCCCCTACCTGTTGCTGTGCTCTGCTGGTCATCTGGCTGCAGGAACAACACCCACACTTTCCCAGAGTTTACAGTAAAGACGGTTGTGGCTGTTTTTAAATATTTCTGCTTGCTGAAGAGATTCATGATGTAAATCACCTTTTAAAACCTGCAAGGTGCTTTGCTAAGCTCCTGTTAAGCTTCAGACTGAAGGTCTGCTACCTTCACAGAGAGCTCAACTCATTAACCTGCTAATGTCTGCTTGCTATGTTTAAATATTCCGGACAATGAACACTTTAAGCTGCATTAATTAGTGTTTCATTTTATTATTTTTAGCAGCAATAGCGAAAAAAATATTGCTTTTCAGTTTTATTAAATAATTTGGATTTTATTTTTGCATTTTTTTGTGTTTGTGTGTAAATAAATGCCATATCTCTGTGAAACCGTGGGATTATTAATCAACGTTTTTGCATCTGGAGATTCTTGGTCTTTAAATGAATCGGCAGCAAATCGGCTTTGACCAGCAAATGAACCTGAAAGCTAAACGCTGCGTCTGCTCAGGGTTTCACTCTGGCCTCTTTATGCCTGATAGTTTTTACACTTACAAATGCATTAGATTTTTTTGTTTCCTTTGGCAAAAGTAATAAGTACGAGTTGAGAAAATATTGAAAAATTATATATGAAAAAAACAACAACACACAGGCAGAATATTTTTGGCTCCTGTTGGAGGATTTCTGTTTCTTTGAAAGTTTCTACAAGAGGCTGATAATCAGCTGAAAGTCATTCTTGGA